TGGTTATAGTATATATATAGATAGAGAGATATAATATAATATGATATATAATATAGATATATATATATAATATATAATTTCAAAATAAAGAAACCATGAAATTGTCCCACAATCAAGCCTCCACAAAAAGAAAGGTAAAAAATATTCCTCTCAACAAGTTCCGTACTCGATGAAACCGTAAAAGCTTATCCCCAATGAACACACATCATAGCCTTTGTATCTCACAAGACAGCAAAGAAAAAAACCCACCTTACTCTTCCGAATGATTAACCAACCCACCGTTTCGGTATTCACCCAATAAACGAACTAACAGGCGCCAAGCCACGCACGGGGGTGCAACCAAAAAAAAAGGTCTCTTCCACTAAAAGAAGAGGAAGAAAAAAGACACACCAAAAGACAAGCTCATCTTGAGGGTTCTCTCTGAAGCATATCGTATCAAGAAAGATAAGTCTTATTCTCAGTTGATGGGAAGAAAGATGATTTTTTTTTTGTGGTATCAACATTATCATCTCTCGTCATGAAGTTGGGACTTGAGGACCACTTAGTTGACCTTAGCCAAAGAAGATCTCGACAATGATTTAGGATTGTTTAGTCAGCTTTAAACAAGAAAAATTTCAACAAGAACTTGAAAATGAAGACTAGAATTAAAAGTTCTCATATGATCAAAATTTATTGATTATAGGCCTCATTAAAACTTCCTCGGCTAAAACCTTCTTTAGAAAAAAATGGAAGTAAAAAAAAATTAAGTTCATGGTTAAACTCCCAATCTTGATGCTTAAGTTTGTTTTATGGTGAAATTATTTTTATCATCAACTAAAAACACATTTAATTCATCCTCTCTAATTACAACTTATCTAAACTTTATAATTTTTTTCTCAAACGTGTCCGTTTATGTAATTTTCATACAAAAGTACACCATTTTCATATAAAAAAAAAAACTCACTGTCATCCCTAAATCCGCAACTATTCGAAATAAAATATAATACCTAATAAGATAGATTATAACAGCAAAATGAGTTAATTTCATAATTCTAGAAGTTAATTTCTAAAATTTATGAATAACTTCAACAACAAAAAATGTGAACTTTAGAATAACTTCATAATTCCAGAAGTTAATTTCTAAATAAATGTTCTAAGTTTAAAAATCAAGTACACGTGATATTAAGATAAATATTTACGATCAAAAGTTACACAGTTAGAACATTAATGCTAAAATTTCTTGATCCAGTTTTCTACTCTTGCATGCTTAAAATAGAAAGAAAGTATATTTTGTATAGTTTTATAATAATTTATACTAAAAAACTAATTTCATAATTGATTAAAGAAATAAAACTAATTGATTAAGATGAAATAAAATATAATAGATCAAATGATAATAATAATCATAATAGCATAAAAATAATAATAATAATTTTTATGGTAACTTAATCGTTTTAGAGTTTCATTTATTAAAACAATTTATTTACCAACAACATCAATTAAATTATATACAAATTTTCATCATCTTTTTCTTAACTCAAAATACTTCACTTTCACCATATTTTTTCCTCCTTTCCACTCTCCAAAATCTATTATCTAATTCAAACACAGCCTATATCCTCATTTTACCTCGTATTGTAAGTACAAGAGCATGCATCGTATTAACGTGCTTTTAAGTATCGTATCCATCGCTTTATCAGGCAAAAGATATATTAAGTTCTTAATATACATTTACTTCAATAACAATGAACATACTAAATTCTTCACTTTCCATTATTTACCTCACCAAGCCAGATCACTTATTCAAGCGTATATAAACCAAAATTCGAGAAAGAAATAGGTCCAATGATTATCTTGGTATATAAAGCTGAATCAAAACTTAATTTGTTTAGGGTTTGGTAGAAGGCTGAAACCAAAGAAGAAAAAAACATCACAAACACAGCACCAGAATTGTTACAAAATATATGTTTAAGCCAGACGTCGACCATACAATTAATAAACAGAACATCTCTCCAAATATACAAAATCTAAAGAACCCTTTGATATTGCGAATGCAATAGGCAGTAGTCCTATACATGGCATAGAAGATCTTCAATAGTACAGCATAGTTACTCTCCAGAACCAGTTCAATTTCAAATATTTCTATACGTTGACAACTAACAGTCATACTAACCAATGATTTCATTGAGGCATTTAAAATCTTTTTGTAACAATTCCCAAATCAACCAACATGGAATTCATTATCACAAAACTAAGTATTTGAAAATAATGTGTTCCACTGAATTCTCAAAATTGACCATGCAAGTACTCGATCTCAAGTTGTAACAGAACATCGATTAACGTAGGATCAACAATTACAGCAAAATATCTCATTCTAGAAAACTACTAGAAAATAAAATAACCATAAGAAAATATCAAAAGCAATAGAACCTTAAAATCACAGTGTTTAAAAACTTATTTCTTTTTTCCAGCCTTGGCAGCATCGGAAGCCTTCGTCTGCAGAAAAGAAATGGGTTATTCTTTTATAAAACAAAAATGATAAATGAGATAAACAGTTGTCAACAACACACAATTGTATTACCTTCTTTACACCACGAATCTTCTTGGCTCTATTCTTTCTCTCCTTCATCTGCTTCCTTGATTTCTCTACCTTGGTATCAAGTCCATTCTGAAAAAAAGGAGATTTTAGATTTTGATCAAACAAAAAGAAGCCAACATAAATTACAGAACGAAGGGAAAATAAAATTTTAGAGATCACTAAGAACAAAAGCATTAGTCACAAAATACAAACAACTCCAATAAAAGCATACCAGCAGTAGATTTTGCAAAAACAGAACAGCAAAAACACCCGCAGTTTGAAATATATATATTAACTACTAACACCCATAATAAAATCTGACCAAACCACAAAATCATATCAGTTTACAGCCGTCTCATCCAACCCAACTAAAGAGCATTTTAAAATTTCTTCAGGACTAACCTCTTTTACAAAATCATATTCCCTAAAACCCTTCAATAATACATTTGGTCACCGGCTATTACAAGTTTAAACTGACTATAACCCCCCACCGCCCTCCAAACAAAAAACGAAACAACTTATAAGGAAAGTTAAAATAGAAACAATGATAACGGAAACGGGTAGATACATAATTTATAAAAAGATGAACTAACAAAATAATATTCACAAAGGGAAAAAATTACAACAAAGGCAGAAAGGTTCAGTTAACTGACCCTGATAAGCCTGTACTTAGGCTCATACTTCTTCGCATTGTCAACTGAATCATAGATCAAACCAAATCCAGTGGACTTGCCACCACCAAAGTGAGTTCGGAACTTGAAGACAAATACAGTGTTGGGGTCCTTCACATCATACATTCTTGCCAATTTCTCCTTCAACTCAGCCTTTACGCCAAACACAACACATTAAACAAAGCAAAACGAGAGCTAACTCAAATTTAAACAAACAGTTGAAAAAATGTAACATCCAGCTAGTTAAGGAAAAAAGAAGCTTATTAAAAGACAATACCTTGGAAACATTGGCCCTCCCTGGGTGAAGGACATCAACAACCTGGATCACATAACAAAAAGCATCACCTATAAATCCGTAAAATTCTCTGCTATTAGGGATCATGATGTTCAAAACGTATCACAAATAGAAGATTTCACATTGACACAACTCATCTACCTATTTGATTAAATTCAATTTATATTATTCTGATGAAATCTTCTACTGAAAACTTTCTACCTATTTCAAATATTCTGATGCAACGTAATGGGGTCACCACTAAAAAAATTGTTTTCAGAATGTATATTTCTTATAGAAAAACGTAAAATTGAACTGGAAAAAAAAAACTTACGAATTGTTTTCTGGAGAGAAGCCTGTTTGTCATGAATTTTCTGGTTCGGATGGTCACTGCCTTGTCCGCCATTTTTGTTTAGCGCCGGCTACTGGAGCAACTGATATTGTCAGCTCGACGACACCGCTACGGAGGAGAAGAAGGTTAGAATTTAACCCTACCCTCTTTAAAAAACCCTAGTTCTGTTATCTTTTCCGTTTGGGCTGGCCCAATTAAAGCCCTTATTTTCACACGTGTATTTTTTGGCCATTTCTGCCTACCCTTTGTTTTTTCTTCCTGCACCCGTAACTTTTAAAATACCCCCTCTACTCTTTTTGACATAAAAAATCCTAATTATTTTTTCTCTCCCATCTTTCCCTTTCTTCTTTCCGCTGCCGCTTTACACCTCATCTCCATAGCTCTCTCTCATGAACAACACACAACACATCTTCCTCTCATTCTCTCATAGTTCAGTGCTCCTTCCTCAAGGTTGCTCTGCTGATTGTTGCACCTCCATCACGCACCTCCAGATTAAGTAATCCACAACACACTTTCACAATGAGTAATCTAAAATGCAATATTGGATCCAAAAGTGCATTCCGGATTGTTCAATTCAATATGCATTTGTAGTTTCCGGATAAAACCATCAGAATATCTGAATTCGAGAATACATTCTAGATTGGTTAATTCAAAACTTAATAATAATTTTTGAATTCGACAATCCCAAATATATTTTCGAATCCCATATTTTAGATTAATCAATTCGGAAACGCTTTGAGTAATCTGGAATAAATTCCCTCTATATGCATTCCAGAAGCACTCCGGATTTTCATCGACGCATTCAATGGTTATTAGTTCGCAGATGATGATATAGCATGTAAATTATCTTGGAAACTTTGTCGTCATGTGGTTTTGCATGCCTCTCGAAGGATGTTATGAAATCATCCTATCGTAGTTTCTTTCACAATGCAATTAATGCAGTCTGCAACGTTCTTCTTATGTTTCGGGCTTACGAGGATTAATATGATCCCAGATTTGCTACCAAAAATAAAGACATTTGAAAAACCAGCTTCGCATGAGTCACAGTTGTAGCAAAGTTTTGTTCGGTCGGTGCTCCATTTCATGCAATCATGTCTTCTGCTGTGTTGATGGGGCTAATCCAATACGTTGGGTTCACAAACGTGTAACCACATTTTGTTGGGGGCTTGCAGCACCCTGACTGCATCAGATGAAAGTGCAAAAAGAATAAAGATCAAACATGGAGATGCAGCACGATTTTTGTAAAAATTTTGCAGAGATAAAATGGATATTGAAAATTATGGAGGTGCAGAAAGAAATATTGGGAATACAGGAAGAAATGGCCTTGATTTTGGGTCCATCAAGTTTGTGCACGATTCCGGCCATCTTTGTCGGGCCCATTAATACATAGCCGAATCAAAATATTTAGCCCCCTCAACTTTATTTATTTTCTTCCTGCAAATAAAGATGGTAAATTTTAGTTTTATCTCTGTAGAATTAAATTTTATCTTATTTCAAAATATTCTATTGATTTTTACTTTTAATGTAATTGATCGTTAAAGTTTACTGTTTTTATAAATAAATGCTTAAGAATTTTAATATTATCCTATGTTGAACTTTTCAATTTTTTATAAATAGTATTTTTACATTAAATACTTATGAATATTTATTCTTTTTATTAAAATATATGTCATAAAAAGTAATAAATTGTAATGATTAATTAGAATAAAATTTAGGCGTCTTTTCGAAAACATAACATTTTAGAATCAATTAGAAAAATAAAATAAAATTCAACGTATTGAGCTAAAGTAATAATTAAGATAAAAAAAAAGTTGGGATGTATATTTTAAAAAATATAAAGTTTAGGAGGTTAACTTTTTTTCTCAAAAAGCTATAACAAATATTTAATAAAAAATGAATGCTTTTCATTCCTATGAGTGATATACCTCTGTTTTATTTATTCAAAATTATAGTAATAGTAGTAAAATTTTGAGAACAAAAAAATGTAGAGATTTTGAGAACAAAATACTCATTTTTCCGTTAAAAACGAGTCCGCCTAAGTCCTATAGAAAGAAATAAACAAATTTAAATTATTTATAAATATAATTTAAATTGGAAAAACAACTTGAATTGGTTATACATATGACATCAATTTGCCTGTAAAAAAAACCCAACATCTTCTAAAGTATTTATATTTATATTTACAACCTTTTAATTTCTGAAATCCTGTCTTCATTTTCCTTGTACGATTCATAAAAAAATCCATGTTTTATATTTATATTTACAAAACATATACGAGTGTGAATTTAATCGTATTTTCTTAGTTTAATTAGAAGATGTGATTTCCTATGGCGATCGTGCTATCACATCTATCATGGCTATCTTCCATCCATTCAAATGCCATTGAAAATTTTATACAATATTGTTTATGAATTGAAAAAGAGCAATCAACCAGTAGGCTTTAAATAATTCCTTTGATTTTCATCCTTTGGAGTTTGAAAATGTATAAGGTTTAATTGCTGTATAACTAACACAAGTTAATGGTATTTCCCACCTAAACGTTAGGTTAACTTTAATGATAAGTTAATAGCATTTGAAAATCGACATGGAATAAAATACACTTTGTTATTTTTTTTACGAAACATGTCACAAATAGAAGAATCAATTTTCGTAACGAACGTCTTCGACGCTGGAAATGCTCAGGTGTGATCTGTTTGATGATCGGAAGAAGAAAAGAGTGAGATTTTGTAGAGAAAAGTAAGAGCTTTTTAGAGAGAAGTAGGAGAAAAATGGAGTTTCAGAAGATTGAAAAAGATGGTTGCATGCAGAGAGTGGCGTGAATTTTGAAAAACTAAGTTTTACTTTTATCCTCCAAAACCGAACGTCACTCGACTGCTCACACCTGTTTTTCACTTTCTGATTTCTAGCTCCCCTTGCTTGACATTTGTCTTCCACTCAAATGAGGTTTTTAGTGTGTTTTTAATGGTTCTGACATATATCAATTGTAATGAATGCTTGTTTGATTTCATTTTCTTTTATGCCCAGCACACGACATCTTGGTAATGACATTTCAATCAAGATTGTAAGGATCAATTTTAATTAACAGAGGTTAAGACATATAAAACATAATAGTGGAATCTTAAATAAAATTAACTAAGATAATTATCTATATTTAAATCCAACAAAAATTAAAATGAAAATGGATGGGTTCTTGAACCTTCTTGTTGGGTCAATGTTAGCTGTCCGAACCAAGAGGTGGTGAAATTTTACGTGGAAGAGATTTGTTGGACTGAGTATATATAATTATTGGAGAATCATTTTCGGTAGTGATTGGTGTAATTAATAAAATGAATGTGCAGTGAAACAAAACATGAAGAGAAGTAGCAGAGGGGTTCCACCAAATTATAGGTTTTGGAACACGAAATCTTTTATCAGATCGAAGGCTTTGTCCACTGCAGCTTCCACACTATTATTTGTGTAAAAAATGGGACACAGTCACACTGATAGCAACTTATTGAAATTAAGTTTGTTCGATGTATCTTTTTCCATCTTTACATGTCTGTCTGTCCTCTGCAACCTAGTTGGATAACTTGTTAAAGACAGAGTAGTCCAGGATCAAGACGTTACTTAAAATTACCATATAAGGAATCAAAAATAAATAAATAGATGGAAATGCATCGAAATAACATTTTATATTGTATTGTAAAAGTTACTTTTCAATGTGTGTGATATAGATTATTTTAGAGGATGACATTGAAAATATGAATTAAATATATTTTTAATCGATGATAAAAAGAACCTTACCACAAAACAAAATTGAAGCATCTAAGTTTTGGAGTTTAATAATGGAGAAAACTCGCTAGTAAAGAAAACGTTATGAATTGAATATCATGAAGACGATATGAGCTTTAAGAAAAAATTTTATGGGAGGAAAACTCAGAAGTTGACCACATTATTGGTGCTGCAATTGAGACCAGAAACTCTAAAATTAAGAATAAACCTATATTTTTAGATGTCAAGTTCTATATCTAGATTCTTAGACTTCTCTCTAGGACTTTTTTTTTTTCACTTTCACTTATAATATCTCTTATACTAAAGAGACATGGGAAAGGATAGAGCTCATAGGATCAACTGTTAGAATCAATATAAGTTGTTGAATTTTCTTGTGCAGGATTCGATGTAACTGTGTGAACTTATGTACAGATATTATTTTATTGTTTTATACAAATATTCTTTCATATGTTATTAATGATTTAATATAACTTGAATTAGGCAAAAGCTAAGCTGAGTTATAGATCCAATTAGATTATCTAATGCTATTAGATGGTAGACATGCACCAATATGCTTTAGGTGACAAAAGAGTCTTTATCATTAATGTAAAGAGTTCATTCATTAGGAGTGAAGAAATACTCTGAGTTTGAATGTCTTTAGGCCCTAAGTTGTAGACATGGGTCTAGAATTACATTAGTATACTTTTAGAAACCATGAATAAACTTTGTTAATTCAATAAAACAGTAAGCATGCCTAAAAACATAATAGTGAAGTCTAATCTAACATGTTTCATATAATTGAGTTATTTGTTTTAAACTTTGAGTTCTATACCACAACCATTTTACAAATGTTTTGATTACAAATCCCAATTGAGTATAGTTTTTGATAAAAATTGATCAAATTTTTATGAATATGACAATTGTTATTACTATAATCAAACTAGTACATTTATTGGTGTGATTACTCGAATTCAGATGGTCATCACATATTCATCATCTCTATCATAATGATAAATCTTGATTTTTCTTTTTAATTGATTTTTTACATCAGATTTATATAGTTTTAATGGTCTCTTACCAAACATCTCATACAATTGTTTAGACAAAATTTCAAACATTTGTACAAATTTTTTTCAATAATATCTAAATAAAACTTCTTTTATTACTCTCATTTCAATTCAAGTAAATTAGTTTTTTTTTTCATGAATGTATAACAAGGTTTTCTTAATTATTTTGTTTGAACACATATTTTACATCATTCTTCTAATAAAATTTAAATTTATATAACCTAGTCGTCATAAATCACAACTTTCAACATTTTTAATAATAAAAGAAGAACTATTGGATATTTTATTAAAAGATAAAAATATAACAATTAACAAACTATCTTAA